TGCGTGGTCTGCTGGGGAGTCGCTCAGGGCGTAGTGGGCCACACTCCTCTCGTTCAGCTTCATGGCTCGCATAAGAACTGTGAGGTGAGAGAGGTAGACACAGATCAGAGGGAGGCAGCCCTTGTGTCCCTGTGGGAAAAAGAGCACTGGCTCTGGAGAGACCTGGGCCCCAGGCCTGTGGGCTCTTCTCACTTGCTGTGCCCTGAGGCTCTCAGTGTTTCATCTGTGAAATGGGCTAGTCTCCCCTGCCTTTTCTCTCAAAGGGCTATTGTGAGGATCATGCAAAAAACTGGACATCAGAGGACTCAGACAAAAGGATAATGTGATTGTATCAGACCAGGAGGTATGGCAGGGCTTTGACAGAGCTGTTTAAAACCCAAAGGAAAAGGCATCAGCTGAGCTGAAATGGACCCCAAACTCATAAAAACCATTGTGCTTAAACCATCCCCTAATCTGAGGGCCCCTTAGCTCCAACCCTGAAGCCAAACATCCAGGGTTTCTGTGAGCCCTGTGGACCCCTGCTGGCCTCTCATTTGTTAATGGCACAGCCGTCCTTTATTAGCCTTCGGGGCCAGATAGGGCTGGGGTGGGGCAGGCCTGCCTCATTCCTCCATCATTGTGGGTTCAGACAGGGACCAGCTCAGTAAATAAGAGCGAAGTACAAACACAGGGCACGGCTGAGTAGGATCAACCTCAACCACTGAACGTTGGTGCCCCACAGGTCACAAGTGGCATCTCATCCAACTGTCCTCCTGACTCACAGAAAACTGAGGTCAGGACAGTGAAGGTGAACTGTCCACGGTCACACGGCCAGTGAGAAGCGGAGCTTGGTCTCCTGATTCACTCCCACCCTCTGGGAGCAAGTCCTGGCAATGACCCACTTACCAGCAGAGCTCACTGGGCAAAGGCAGGGGCCTCTCTTGTCTGGCCACACGGCTCAGCCCTGTGACCACGTGGTTTCTGGGACACCTGCAAAAGAATTCTCAAAGCCAGTCAACCCATCCTAAAGGATGAAAACTCCTACTCAGGCTTTGGGGCCAAATGAAACCACCACCTCCTCCAGGAAGCCTTCCCTGAACCCTGATAATCGCCCCCCCAACCACCACGGGACCACCCAGGCCCTGAACTTACGGGCAATTTAAGGAGCTGAGTCCCATTGTCCTGACCATCACTGTTCAGACCTCACTGCCCTGCCCTCTAATGCTAGGTCAGAGTTAAATGCCCTCATGGCGTCTTGCTTTTCCCTTCTAGCACTTGTCACAGTTTATTTGTGGTCTTCAAGTAAGCTAATCTGAGAGGCCTGTCCTGATCACTATGTCTAAGGTGGTACTGATCACGAAGGTGCTCTGATCTAAGGTGACCCAACCAGCAACCCCCTCACTTCTGTTTTCATCCCGCAATGATTTCCTTTGTGTTTACACCGCTGTCCCCAGCCCCAGAATGTCTCCCAGTGTAACCCCCAATATCCAGCCTTTTGCAGGGCTTGGGAAGGCCCTCCGAAACTATTTGTTAAAATAACTGTGACTACAACAGTGGACAAAACAAAGTCCCTCCCTCCTGGAGCCTACATTTCAGCGGGGGAGACACGCTGTAAAAAAAAGACAAAAATAAATAATAATTAGTGAATTTTTAAATTAATTAAATAATAAATAACGTAAGGACCGGTCTTGACAAGGGCTATGGAGAGAAGCAAGCAGGGTCCTGAGATGGGGAAGGGCCATTCTCCGATGGTGGTCGAGGAGAAGCGGGGGTGGGGTGGGGGGAGAACACAGATGTTTCCTCGAGGAGTGGCCTCAGCTCTGGGGCGCGGAGAGGGGATCCGGAGCCCACCGAACTGTCTCCGCACCCCCTCACGGGGACAGGCGTCTTCCACCCACCTCCCCACTCCAGGGATGCGAGGCCCGGACTTCAACCCCGGCGGGAAGCCGGTGCACCGCGTTTTTCTGAATTCTTTTGTTAGAGGAGCGGCGGGCTGGGGCGTGGGACTCCCTGGCCGGTGGCCACCGCTGGGAGCCCCTAACCCGCTGTCGCCCTGAAACAGGGTCGCCTCACCGGGAACTCCCCGGCGAGCGCCGCAAACTGCGGGTGCGGCGGCCGCCTCGGTTTCCCTATCGCGCACGGAGCTGTCCCGCCACGTCCCCGCGGGCCACGCCCTCCCGGAGGCCGCCGCCTCCCGGGCCCGCCGGGCCCGCTCTCACCTCCGCGCCCCCGAAGCCCAGGAGGACGAACCGCGGGGTGGGTTGCGGCCGCGGCCAGGGGCGATTCCGGCTCGGGACCCCACGCCTCCGCCCGGGCCGCTAACTTGGCCACGGGAGCCGAAAGACCCCGCTTGGGCGGCTCGAGTTACCGCCCCCGCCCCTCCCCGCCCACGACTCACTAGGCCTCGCGATTCGCGAAGCCGTCCCGCGATCCATGCCCGAGGGAAACTGAGGCCCGACAGGCCGTGACCCGCCTGAGCCACAGTGCTGGTCAGTGACGGGAGGCCTCGAACGCAGAGTCCCACCTCTGGCCGTCCGGGGGCCTTGGACCCAGTCCACCTCCCAGAGAACTCGGAGACCTTCCCTTTCCCCCTCCAGTCCCCCTCTCCCCGCCCGGCCCACTTCTCCCGCAGAGCCAAGCCTGGGACGGCCTCGGCCCAGACGCCTCCTCTGGGCGGGCTCCTATCCAGCCCGCGAGGCCCGGCCCAGCTTCCCAGCCACCCAACCCGGCACCTGGCGTCGCCCGGACCTCTGCTTCTGGGGATTATCCATTTCTGCTTCCGCCACTCCCGCCGGCCTGAAACGCAACTTCAGCGCCCAGACTCTGCCTGGAGTCAGTCGACAGCTAGGCCTGCAGTGAAGGTTGCAGGAGTGCACAACCAAACGCAGGAGGCTAGGGTTTCCCAGCAGCCCTGGAAGCCGGTGAGCTCAGAACACCTGCCCATGAATTTGCTGGTCCCCACGTCAGTTCTGCCCTTGCAGTTCCTGCAGCCTAGAATGCGCTTCCTTCTCAAGCCTGCCCCTGGGCTCTAACTCCTCAGGGCTCCTTCACATCATTTAGTTCTCAGCTCAAATGTCCCCTCCCTGGCCTTGAGAAAGTAGCCTACCTGCAGGTCTCTGTCACATCCCTGGGTTGTATTTTCATTATAGCACTAACCACTTATAAGAAAAGCTTCCCTACGCTCAGGCTTCTATTTCCTGTTTATTATGTCTCCCCCATTAACTTTTATTCAGTTAATAATAGAAACCATGGGCTTCCCTGGTGGCGCAGTGGTTTAGAATCCACCTGCCAATGCAGGGGACATGGGTTTGAGCCCTGGTCGGGGAAGATCCCACATGCCGCAGAGCAACTAAGCCAGTGTGCCACAACTACTGAGCCCGCGAGCCACAACTATTGAAGCCTGCGCGCCTAGAGCCCATGCTCTGCAGCAAGAGAAGCCACCGAAATGAGAAGCCCGTGCACCACAATGAAGAGTAGCCCCCGCTCGACACAACTAGAGAAAGCTCGCCCACAGCAAGGAAGACCCAAGGCAGCCGAAAAATAAAATAAATAAATTTTTAAAAAGTAATAGCACCCATAATAAATGTGCTAGAAGGCAATAAATTTTGTGGAAAATATAGAGCAGGGGCAAGGAGACTGGGAGTTGGGGCAGTAGGGCGGTTGCAATTTTCAAAAGAATGGTCAAGGTAGGGCTCACTGAGAAGGTGACATTTGGGAAATACTTGAAGGAAATGAGGGAGCCAGTCGTGCGAAAATCTGGAGGAAGAGTATTCCAGGCAGATGGAACAGCTAGTGCAACGGCCCAGAGGCCTGTTGTGTTTGAGGAACTGCAAGGGGGGGGAGGGGGGCAGGGAGGAGCAGCAGGAGGTGGGGTCAGAATGTGTGGCCTGGGGCTCTGTAAACCTGTGAGGGCTGTTGCTCCAGGCTGAAATGAACACGGTCTTGAGCTATGTTTTAAAGCAGCGGTCCCCAACCTTTTTGTCACCAGGGACCAGTTTCGTGGAAGACAATTTATCCACGGAAGTGGGGAGCGGGGGCGGTGGGGGGCTGGTCAGGCGGTGATGCGAGCGACGGGGAGCGGGGAGCGGCAGATGAAGCCTCATGCTTGACCGCCGCTCACCTCCTGCTGTGCGTCCTGGTTCCTAACAGCCCGTAGACCGATACCGGTCCGCGGCCCGAGGGTTGAGGACCCCTGTTTTACAGGATTTCTCTGGCTGCTAAGGAGAGAATAAATGTGGGTGGAAGCAGACCGGTGAGGAGGCTGCTGGAGTAATACAGGCAAGATGTGATGGGGGCTGGGAGAGTAGAGAGAGGTGGCCAGATTCAGGATGGGCTTTGAAGGTAGAGAGTGCAAGGTTTGCAGAGAGGTTGGATGTAGGGAGTGAGGGAAAGAGGAGGCAAGGAGGACTCCAGCGGTTTGGCCTGAGCACCTGGAAGGAGAGTTGCCATTACCTGAGACATGGAAGTGGCAGGTGTCTGGGGCCAGTTATGTTTGAGATGCCCAGTGATCATCCAAGTGAAGGTACCAAGAATAAAGTGCTTGGTACCTAGCGGTTGCTCAATAAGTATTTGATGAATGAAAGAGGAAGGAATATGCAAAGTGCCTGGATAAGAATAATGGGTGGTCCGAGTATTAGGTAAGGAAGGAGAATCTCCTGGCTTTGAAGGAACTGTGTCCTCCACCTGGTTTGCTTTCTCCCACCCATCCTCCTCGTGGTGCCTATTCATCTGCCACTACTGTTTTTGAGCGGCTTACTACGGGCCCTGCTTCAGGGCATTCTCCCATTTTTCCTTAAAAAAGCCCCCAGCAGGTATTCACGCCACAGCTCTTTATTGAGCATCATCTATGCACTATCCTCGCCTTCAGGGAACCCAGCAGAGGTGAAAGGACTAGCTTCACGTGAAGCCGCAGTTGGCTCGTGCCTGCCTCGGGGGCGCGCAGAGCCGGAGATCGAAGGAGGTGGGGCTTGGGGATGTTCCGAGGGCTTACTGGGCCGGTAGAGGGCGGGGCAGGACGTTGCTAGGGGGATTCTGTTAGGTCCTCCGGGGAAGGTTAGGCGCAGTGAGACCCCGCCCCTCTCGAACGCCGGAAGCGAATCAGGTGACTGCGGTGGTGGCTGGTTCCGGAGACCGAAGCAGGCGGCTTGGAAGGGGTGAGTGTCAAATGTGGACGACTCTGGTTGGGGTCCCCGTGGTGGGCCGCTGGGCCTGCGGTCTTTGGGGACGGGGGGCGGCAACCCAGACCTGGAGGGAATACGGAGCCTGGTCCCGGCCCGCCGCTTCCGTTCTTCCTGGGCGTCCTCGAGCCTGTCGCTGCCTCTCTCTGACCCCAGTCTGGCAGAGGGCCGCCCTTGGGCGCTCGGGGTTCCCAGCAGCGCAGAAGGGGTGCGGTCTAACGTCCAAGATACCTTGTTTAGTATTTCCTCAGGAAGAACCCAGGCTCGGGGAAGTGATGGCTGGGGTAGAGGGGGGGAGCGGTGAGAGGGCTTGGGGACCCAGTGTGGGATCCACACCCAAGGTTAAGGGCGGCAGGGCTAGCCAGGCAGTAGTGACGCCAGTGCTTTTCTAACGTTTCTTAGCTTCCAGAGCCCAACATATAGAGCTGGTAAAAGCAGGGCAGATCTGGTCAGGTCCCGAGACGCTGAGTCCAGAGCGATGTTGCTGAAGACAGGTACCTACACGGATGGGGGTGGCTTTGGGAGGGTAGGTGACCAGTTGGGGGTGGGAGCTACCTGGAGGAAGTTCCAGTCCTGTGGTGTCTGGGCCTCCTTCCCTGATGTGGGTATGTGGGGAGACATGTTCCTCTCATTCCTGGAAGTGGGCCAGGAAAGGAGGAAGTGCTCCCCACCTAGGAATCAGTTCCCCTCCAAAGAGGCCTCTTCCTTGCGCACCCCCTCTACCCCAAAGCACAGAGGCCCTATCTTATTAACATCAACATGTAATAAGAACAGCCCTGTAAAGTCAGTACAGTGATTCCATCTTGCAGATAAAGAAACTGAGGCCCTAGAGGGAAAGTGAGCTGGCTGGGTGCAGGTCCAACCGGCTGGCCTCTTAAGCCCTTCTGAAGCCTCTTGGGTGTCTGTGGAGAACAGAGAGCCCTGGATGGGACTCAGGAGACCTGGAGTCTGGCTACACTGTACTGTCAAGTTCTGTGTGAATGGAGTGGGGGGAGCTGGTCAGGGTGTAGAAGGGATATGACCTCAGGGTGTTAGTTTTTGATAATTCCAGCACTGCTGTGGTAACAGCAAAGTGGGAATCCGGGCCTCAAACACGTTGCCCCACCCCAGGCACCGTCCACCCACTCACAGCACTCCTGGAGCCAGGAGTTGCAGGAAGAGCCCATTCCACCTTAAGCACGAGAGTCTAGTTCCCCTAATGTGCAGGCCAGCAGCCTCTGCAGGGCTGGGCAGCACGTGGGTGGGGTGGGGTGAGGGCTGGAGCTATAGGAGCCACTCACAGTTATCCTTCCAACCCCCTGCAGTGCTCTTGCTGGCCTTGGTGGCCCAGGTGCTGGTTCTGGAGAACGGGCTCCTGCGGAAGCCACCCATGGGCTGGCTGGCCTGGGAACGCTTCCGCTGCAACACTGACTGTAACGAGGACCCAAAGAACTGCATCAGGTGAGTAAGGTCGGCACCACCCAACAGGCTTGCCTAGGGCCCTCACAGAGTGGGAGCAGCGAGTGGGGGTCAGCTAGGAAAGAGGGCAGGGTTAGAGCCCCCCATCCCAGAGAGAAAGCAACCAGAGGTGACTTTTGAGACCTCTGACACTCAGCTTCATGACCAGCTTGGGGCCTCTGTGGTGACCTCAGGCCTGTGGGGCAGGGACCCTGTGGTGGACGCAGCCGCTGAGATAATGGAAAGGAGGTAACAGTGAAGGGCCAGGCCGGACCCCGCGTGCTTCCCACTGGCCCGGTTCTGCTTCTTGGCTTGGGGGCCCCGTCACTCCTCTTGCTCCACCCTGCTCATGGCTCATGACATAATCCTTGGTACCCCTCACACTTGTTACCTGGCTTAGTCCTCGGCTGACAGCAAGGCCATGGTACTTGTAGGCTGGATTCACACTCAGAGCATCTAAGAAGTTTGAAAAGCTCTGAGGAACGGGGGGTGGGGTTAAGGTTAGGCCCATGCTGGGCCACTGAGCAGCCCTGTCCCCTACCCCTCGCCAGTGAGCGGCTCTTCGTGGAGATGGCCGACCGGCTGGCACAGGATGGATGGCGGGACCTGGGCTACGAATACCTTAACATCGATGACTGCTGGATTGGTGGACGTGATGCCAAAGGCAACCTGGTGCCTGATCCCAAGCGCTTCCCCAACGGCATGGCCTTCCTGGCTGACTACGTGAGCCCCACCCCAGCCCTGCCCCTTGGCCTGTGGGCCAGACCGCTCTTTCCACCCCATCCTACTTAGGGCTCATTTCTGTAATCCCTGCTTGAGAACTCACAGTCTGGTGGAGGAAATAGATACATGGACAGGTAGTTTTGACCCACTGTAGTGGGTGAGAGCAAGGAAGGACATCTTATTCAGCCTGGGATTTCAGGAAGGTTCTCCAGAGGAAGCAATTCTTGAGCTGATAGTGGAGAGATGGCATTCAAGGGAATGGCAGAAGCAAATGCCTAGAGGCCAGAAACAGCCCATGCAAGGTGTGTGTGTTGGAGGGAGGGGAAGTATCATGGTTGGCAGAGGCCAGGCCAGCAAGCTGAGACCCTTTCCTTTGGGCTTTAGGAAGCCATTGAAGGTTTTTATTTATTTATTTATTATATCTTTAAAATTAATTAATTTAATTTTGGCTGCATTGGGTCTTCATTGCTGTGCACAGGCTTTCTCTAGTTGTAGTGAGCGGGGGCTACTCTTTGTTGGGTGTGCAGGCTTCTCATCGTGGTGGCTTCTCTTGTTGCAGAGCACGGGCTCTAGGCTCATGAGCTTCAGTAGTTGTGGCATGCGGGCTCAGTAGTTGTGGCACATGGGCTTAGTTGCTCCGTGGCATGTGGGATCTTCCCGGACCAGGGCTCGAACCTGTGTCCCCTGCATTGGCAGGCAGATTCTTAACCATTGCGTCACCAGGGAAGTCCCATCATTGAAGGTTTTAATGGGGCCTGGTCAGATGTGCCTGGGAGGTGGCTCCTTGAGGTGCTGCCTGAGCCCAGTGTGTTGTCAACCCCCCACAGGCTCATTCCCTGGGCCTGAAACTGGGCATCTACGCGGACATGGGCAACTTCACCTGCATGGGTTACCCAGGCACCACGCTAGACAAGGTGGTCCAGGATGCTCAAACCTTCGCGAAGTGGAAGGTGGACATGCTGAAGCTGGATGGCTGCTTCTCAACCCCCGAGGAACGGGCCGAGGGTGGGTCCCACAGCTGGCTGGGGGCCATTAGGTAGACAGGGAGGGGTGGCCATGGAAGGCCCCACAGTGCCCATCTGTCTGTATGGCCCCTAGCGGGTAGCATTTCCCAATTCCCCTCACCCAGGGCCTAGGGGGATCTTGGCTCCCAGGCTCCCTAAAGATGGGTTGGTACCATGCCCCTACCTGGGAAGTGTTTGCAGCTCTGGGTACAGGGGAAGCACCTCCTTGAACCGTAGTTTCCTCCCATTTGGTGGGAGGTTTGGGCTGAGGTCCCAGATTTCATCTTGTGTCTCTTCATCCTAAAATGTGAGGGTTGGACTTCTCCAGGGTACCCCAAGATGGCTGCTGCCCTGAACGCCACAGGCCGCCCCATCGCTTTCTCCTGCAGTTGGCCAGCCTACGAAGGGGGCCTCCCCCCACAGGTAAGCCATTCTGTGAACCCACCTTGCAATGCTCCTCAGACCCAGGCCTCCTTGCCTTCTATGCAGTCAGGGCTCCTCTCATCATAGTTACTCACATGCTGATTTGTAGGTCTAGGAAAGGGTCATAAGTACCTGAGGGGGCCTGAGCTAGCCCAGGGTCTTAGAGGAGACACTTGTCAGGTGGGCTGAAGGGATGGGTATCCAAGGCATGGGAACCATATGTTATGTGCTGACACAGCACCCAACAAGCAGTCAGAATCCTGGGTTTTGCCGAGTGGGCTAGGAGATCCAGAAGGCTGGTGAGGCCAGGCAGGTGGGGCCTGGCCTCTGAAAGGCCTCGTGGGCATCTCACCAGGGACCCTTCAGCATGTAGGGTGCTAGAAAGGGTGGAATCAGACTTGCAGACCCGAGGGAGAACGCTGGCAGAGGGTGGGACTCACTGAGAGAACACGGGGGTGGGTGTGTGGTAGGGAAGGTTATGGTATGCCAGCCTGGGTCCATACCCTGGGCTTGGCCCCAGCTGGCGTGAGAGGGAGGGGTCGGCTCCTGGCACTAGCGCGCATGGAGGAGAGGCCAGGCAGCCCCAGAGTAGGGCCACTCCCTCTGAGGCCTTCCTCATCCTGAACACGCTCAAGGTCTGTTCTCTTCCCCCTTCCCTACCCTCTATGTCTCCTGCTGAGGCTCCCCAGCCCCTGTGCAGGGCTCTAGGCAGCAGAGTATGACTCTGGTGTTGGACTCTGCCTTCCCCCCAAATCCAGGTGAACTACACTCTGCTGGCGGACATCTGCAACCTCTGGCGCAACTATGACGACATCCAGGACTCCTGGAGCAGCGTGCTCTCCATCCTGGACTGGTTTGTGACCCACCAGGACATTCTGCAGCCGGTGGCAGGCCCTGGGCACTGGAACGACCCAGACATGGTACCAGCATGGAGGGGGATGGCCCAAGGCCCACTGCCCTATGCTGTCTTCCTGGACGCTGATTGCCAGGTTCTAGACCAGCATATCAGAAACGTGTCCTTGAACCAGCCGTGCTGGACTTGCCTTGGGGGCTTACAGTTCTGTTCCCAGGGCCCCACCCCACCTCTTGGATCAGAATATTCAGAGAGGGCCTGGGAATGCCCATTGTTAAGTCTTCCCAGGCGGTTCTGATGTGTCTTGAAACTTGAGAACTTGATCTGTAGTGACTCTTGTGTGAGACCTTATTCCTGCATAGGGTGAAGATCACAGATAGTCCACACTCTCTTGCCACCCTTCCCTAGACTCTTTGCCAGGTCTGCCTCTGACCCCTCTCTCAATGCTCTATATTGTTACCCTCCACAGGCAGAACTGGCCTCTCATACCTACCTCACTCATAGCCCTGATCACTTAAATTTCTTTGCAATTTATCTTACAGTTTTGTAGCTATCTCTTTAGTCAACGAGTATTTACCGTCAGTGATGATTATAATAATTACAAATACTAGGCCAGATGGAGAGGTGCCTGGAGAAACAGCAATTGACCTGCTTTCTAGAGTTCCAGCTCCAGCTCTGCCACTTACCTTGGGCACGTGACTTAATTTTTTCTGTGACTCAGCTTTGTCAATTGGAAAATGGAAATAATAATAGTAGCTGCTATATATATAGGGTTGTTTTGAGGGTTAAAAGGATGACCCTTTTTTGTTGTTTTATTTTTTTTTTAGGCCAGCACATGGCTGATGTTGCAAACAGGACTCAGCTCCCTGGGGCTGGAGGGGAGCTGACCTTCATTGACCTATTAGGCACCAGGCCCAGGGCCAAGTCCTTTTTTAAAAATTATTTTATTTTATTTTTTGGCCATGCCACATGGCATGCGGGATCTTAGTTCCCTGACCAGGGATCAAACCCACTCCCCCTGCAGTGGGAGCGAGGAGTCCTAACTGCTGGACCACCAGGGAAGTCCCCAGAAGGATGACCCTTTAAATGTCTGGCATGGTTTGGCACATATACAGTGCTTAGTTAAATTGGTGTCACTAAGTACACAAGAGTGTTGAGTTAGCAGTAATCGTTTGTGTCCTGTTGGGGTATTGGTTGCGCTGAGGACAGGAGTGCCCGTTGGTGTAGTCAGCTGTCGTTAGGGCAGGTGGGTGGCTAGTGGCAGGAGCAGAGACTCTGTCCGGGTCTGGTTTACTACCATCCTGGCTGTATTTCTTGACTTGCATATTCCAGTTTATAAACACTTTTGGCAACAGGATCCATTGGATCCTCTGAACAACCTGTGACATGGTCAGAGCATATTATCACCCCCATATTCTTGATGGAAGAAAAAACCTGAGGCTCTGAAAAGTGACTTGACCCACCCCAAGGCCACGCTGCTGGGGAATGTTTGCAGAACCAGGGCCCGCACCTGGCCATCCTCCCCCATCTCTGTCTTCTTTTGCTACAAGTTTAGGGTTGGTCCCCATGCCCACCGCCCTGAAGAGGGCAGAGCTGAGCAATCCTCTTTTCTGCCCCCAGTTGCTCATTGGGAACTTTGGCCTCAGCTTCGAGCAAGCCCGGGCCCAGATGGCCCTGTGGACGGTGCTGGCGGCCCCCCTCTTCATGTCCACGGACCTGCGTACCATCTCCGCCCAGAACATGGACATTCTGCAGAATCCACTCATGATCAAAATCAACCAGGATCCCTTAGGCATCCAAGGACGCAGGATTCTCAAGGTACTGGGGGTGTGGGAGCAAGGAAGGGAGGCTGAGAGACTGGGCTCCCCTGGAAACAAGTCTGCAGGCCAGAGGTTCAGGGGTCGGGACTGGGCCTCTGAAATCCACTCAATCCCTCCTAGTTGCATTCAGTCGAAGTCTCTACTGGGAGCTGCTTCGACTGTCCCTCACTTGCCTGGGTAAGAGCAGGGCCAGAGCAGGACAGCTCGTGGGATTTGGGGAAGGGAGACATCACCACACATGCACACGGGATCAGTGTGGCCCCTCGGTTTGGAACTACAAAACTTCTGCACCAGTCTATGATGGCTGGCAGAGAAATAGGGCTTGCCTTCAGAGTTTAGGAGTTGTTTGAGCCATGGAGTACAACTACTACTAGTACTAGTGTAGACTAGTTGTTGAGCACCTACTGTGTGCTAGACATTCTAGATACATTTTCTCAGAAGGTCGATGCTCCTTCCCTGTTTTACAAATGAGGAAACTTAGACTTGAAGAGTCTCAGTAACTTTATACCAAGGCCACACAATTGGTAAGTGGTACAACAGGACTAGATGCCGATAGTGCCACCTCAAAGCTTGTGCTCGTTGCCCAGATCCTTGCCTCTCTAGTAAAAGGAAATCTACACCAATATAGAAAGCACTGCTGAACTGGTGATGCCCAGAGGCGATAACTAATCCTGCCAGAGGGGCGGATGGTGGAGCCAGGCCCAGGGGCCTTCTGGAGGCTGTGGCTTCACCCTTCTGGCTGCTCAGGGCAGAGCTCATCGTTCTAACTGGACGGTGCCCTCCAGTCCAGTGCCAGGGGCTGTCCACGTCTGTCTCTCCCGTTATCCTGTAAGCTCTCTGAGGCGGGACCCCATGCAGCATTTATCTGTGTCCTGGCGTGGGGCCTGGCACAGAGTAAGTGTCGGGGAGCGTCTGCTGAGTCAGGGAAGGAAGGACGGAAGGTGGAGTTAAGACGAGTTGTGTGCTGGAGGGCTGTGGTTTCCCCTCCAAGCTTCTGCCTGACACGGAACTGTGGGCTGGCGAGACCCAGAGCTCAAGGGCGGGTTGGGAAGGGAGCTTCAGGGCCTGCTGAGCAGGGACCCCAGCCAGTAGCCATGTTCTGCGCCAGGAGAAATCCCACATTGAAGTGTACGTGCGGCCCCTGGCCAGTGAGGCCAGTGCTATAGTCTTCTTCAGCCGCAGGACAGATATGCCGTATCCCTACCGGACCTCCCTCGCCCGGCTGAACTTCACCAGCTCCAAGGTGTATGAGGTGAGTGCCCTGCTACCTGCAGCGCTTTGGGTTTCCCTGAGGGTGTTGCTGGGTCCTACTCATACGGGGGCCCCTTCACTCACACACCGTCCCCTAAGCCGTGGGCCTTGGGTCCTCTGGCTGGTGCTGTGCTCTGCACTGGTGTTTTCAAGCTACACAAATGAACCACCGTGTGTAAATGAGTCCCGTCAGCCCCCGAGGCCGCGTGTTTCCCCTCTGCAGTCTTGCTGGCACATGTCTCAGGTTCTTGGTGGGCTGGGCCCTCACCACTGCCAGTACTTGGGCATCTGTTGGCTTTGCCAGAGGGGAAGTCATGGGGACTCAGGCTCCCACTTCTGTAGGGCATACTGGAGGCTCAACACAGGCCAAAGTGCAGGCTCTTATATCCCCTGGAGTGGGGGGCGGGGGGGTTTGTCCCTGTGCAGCCATTCTTAGGGTGGCATAGTGCTGTCCTCCCCCCCTGCAGGCCCAGAACGTCTACACGGGTGACATCATCAGTGGCCTCCGGGATAAAACCAACTTCACATTGATCATCAACCCTTCCGGGGTGGTGATGTGGTACCTGTATCCTATCAGGAAGCTGGGGACGCCCCAGCAGTGAGGAGCTGGGACGTGTGACAGGCTGTGGCAGCACCACTGAGCCCAGACCACGGAGGTTCCACGTGCTGAGGGCCAGTAGGTGGGGTCGTCTTCTACCCGTCAGACCCGAAGTGCAATCTCAGGGCCGGGTTCTACGCCCTGCACAAGTGTGAAGTCTCTTGGAAACTTGTCTTGGGGAGACTTCCTGTGGCCTCTCTGGCCTCTACCTCATCTGTTCAGCCCCATGGATGTTGCTGAACAACTCGGCCAGCCTCCTCAGCCCCCATAGGCAGAGGCATCGATACTTGTCAGGATTCTAGCCTCTGACCTTCTTTTTACTGACTCTGAAATCAGGATTTGGAATTTTCTTAAAATTAGGAGTGGAGCTCTGACCTCTTGTCGGGAAGTCCCATGAATTATTATGTGATCAACTTTCCTGCCCGGAGAAGGCCTTACAGGCTGACACTGCCTGGGAGTGACCTTGGTTCCTTCGGGTCACCAATAAAGCTGTTCTTTAGTCAAGTAGTTGTAATATGGACCTGGGGCCAGGGGCTGATCAGGTGGGGACTCTGGGTGGCACTACACAAGGTGCTGGTTTCAGATTTCACCTCGCATGGAAGATGTATGGCCTCTTCTGGCTCCTCATTCCACCGCGACCTGCAGACTGTACTTCTGGCCATGCCAGGCTTGCCTCCCGCCCCAGTCATCCCTGCTGTGCCTAGCATCATGGTGGTGGTAACGGCACAGTGAGGCGGACTAGTGATGGTCCCAGGCCCTCTTCCCCACCGCATTCAGACGTTACAGGGTCTGCCAGCCACTACCCGCACTCAGCAGCCCCTCTGCTGCACAGTGAAAGGCCCTTGACCTGCTAAGGAACGTTGCGTTACTGTCTTCAGCCTCTTTCAGCTCCTCTCCCCCTTCCTGACAGGGCTTCGCTCACTGACGCTCCTGGGCTGGGTGCAGCCGAGGGCAGTCAGCTCTGCCTTTCTCCCACAGGGCTTGTGTAGCTTGTCCTCTGCCCACCAGTGCCCCCAGCTCCTCCCTTAGTTTCTCCTCTCCTAACCTGGCTGCAGAGGAGTTTCAGATCCCTCAGCTATGTGCAAAGAAAGGTCCAGGGGCTCTTTGTGTCTTACAATATATATCCTGCCCCTCCTCGTAGGGAAAAGGGTATTAAAGTAAATAATGGCAGGTTCTTGACTGCCTGCCTTTGGTTCCTGTTTCCCAAGCCCTCTTTTTAGCTAAGGCCTCAGGGCACCTGTCTTCCCTAGTGGCTCTTGTTCCCCTCTGGAAAGCTGGCTGCAGACCAGGCTAGGTACGTTCTCCTTGTGCTTTGAATGTGGGAGCACCCAGTGCCTCAGGCTTTGCATGGTCCTGCCCTGTGGGAACTCTTCTGGGTGGATCTCCCATGTTCCCTCCCTCAGGGTTTAAGGTCATTGTATTTGGAGTATGTTATAAAGAACTCACAAACATACATTTTATAGTGTAATTTAAGATTTCTGGAGCTTCCCTGATTGAGTCTGGGGTCATCAGAGGAAGCTCCCTTTTCCCTGTTGGTGTCTTGAGGCTGTGGGTCACTTAGGAGGACAGAAGCCTACCTCATCCCAGGCCTCTGCCCTTTGAGGTCTGTCACCCTATGCATAGCTCCAGCTTCGGGTCTTGGTCATAGTGCTGGGCAAGCCAAGCAGAATGGTTTTGGGCAGAAACACTTCTTTTGCTAGCCCCAGGAAAGAAATCTTTTCCACCCCCGTGGGATGTGGTGGAGACCACCAGACTTGGGAGTTGGGGCCAAGGACCAGCATGGATTTGACCAGTCAGTTCCTTTGCCTTCCAGACACAGAGATAGTTACATGTCTTTACTTGCTGTATAACTTTATCCTGAGGGTACCTGACTGGTTCTATCACGTTAGCCTTTATTCTCTTAAGGCACACTCTATCTTCCAGGACATTGTTTTACTCCCTTCCGCCCAAGGCCAGTATGGGACTAAATTAATTTTTCCCAGTTCAAGGCAGCCTTGTCTGGACCCAAGGGTACCCCTTCTGTTTTTTTAAAAAAAAATTTATTATAGAAATTTTTGAACATTAAAATGGTAAGTGAACCTCCATGTACCCATCACCCAGATCCAACAACCATCAACATGTGCCATTATTTCATATCTCTCGTCCCTCACATACTTTTGCACGTAAGCTGGAGTATTTGAGAGCAAATCAAAGAAAACTCTAACCACCACTATGTAGCTCTAACAGGCAATAGGGTCTTGAATATACAATTTTCTTATCCAACAAAATAAAAGTTTTAATCTGATAACCAGGCTGCGTTCAGTTTTTGCCAGGTGTGTTGGGTTTTTGTTTGTTTCTGTTTTGTTTGTTTTGTTTGTTTGGCTGCACCCTGCAGCTTGTGGGATCTCAGTTCTCAGACCAGGGACTGAACCCAGGCCACAGCAGTGAAAGTCTGGAATCCTCACCCATGTGGCCACATGGTGGGGACACACATGTGTCCCCACAACAACTGGTGGGGACTCCCACCAGTTGTCTCAAAAATATTTTTCCATAGTTTATTTGAATCAAAGTCCAAGCAAAGGGTCAACAAAAATGGTCCCGTAAGAACCACCGAAAGTTTGCTCTCTCTAAGACCGATGAAAAGTCTGCCATATATAATCAGAATCAACTTTAAACTCTGGAAATTAACCAAAGGCTTTCAGTAACCCAGAGAGTGTTCAGTCAAGAAAGACAGTAGAATCTTGGTAAGAACAGAAAGCTTTTTAGAGTTTTTAACTTACCCTAGTACCAGATTTTAAGTCAGCTATTTAAAATACGTTCAAAGAGCTAAAGGAAACCATGTCTAAAGAACTAGAGGAGAAAAAAAAAAAGAACTAGAGGAGGTAAGAATGGTGTCTCACCAGATAGAGAATATCAGTAAAGAGACAACTTATAGAAAGGAACCAAATAGAACTTCTAGAGTTGAAAAGTACAATAACTCAGAGAAAAATTTCACTAGAGGGGCTCAGCAGACATGACCAAGGAGAAAAAAATCAGCAAATTTGAAGATAGGTCTGTTGAAATTAACCTATCCAAGGAATAGAAAGGAAAATGAAGAAAAATTAACAGAGGCTCAGAGACCTATGACACACCGTGCAGCATAGACATAAGGGGACGAGAAAGGGCAGAGAGAATATTTGAAGAAATGATGGCTCAAAACTTTGCATATTTGATGACAAATACTAATCTATACATCAATAAAGCTCAACAAACTACCAGTAGGATAAAGTCAAAGAGATCCATACCTAGACACATCATAATCAAACTCTCAGAAGACAAAGGGAGAATTTTGAAAGCAAGGCACAAGTGACTCATCACATACAAGGGAATATACTTTGAGATGAATGAAAACAAGTACACAACACCAAAAATACTAAAACAGAACATACCAAAACTTATGGAGTCAAAGTAGTGACCAGAGGGAAATTAATAGCTGTGATTTGCCTATATTAAAAAGAGTGAAAAGACAACCCTCACAATGGGAGAAAATATCTGCAACTCATGTATCTGATAAGGGACTTGTATTTAAAATACACAAATAACTCGTAACTCAGTAAAAAGACAACCTAACTTCAAACTGGGCAAAGGATCTGAATAGACATTTTTCCAAGGAAGATATGCAAATGGCCAATGCTCAACATCACTAACCATTAGGGAAATGCAAATAAAAACAACTGAGATACCACTTCACACCCAAAAGGGTGGCTAGAAGAGTCAGATAATAATAAGTGTTAGCAAGGATGTGGAGAAATTGGAACTCATATACTCATGCTGCTGGCAGGAATGTAGAACTGGAGCAGCTCCTGTGGGAAATGGTCTGGCAATTCCTCAAATGGTTAAGCAGAGTTACCACATGACCCAGCAGTTCCACATCTAGGTATGTACCCAAAAAAAGTTAAGACATGTATCTACACAAAACCTTATATACAGATGTTGATAGCAGCATTGTTCATAACAGTTAAAAAGTGGAAACAACCTAAATGTCCTCCAACTGATCAATGAATAAACAGAATGTGGTTAACCATACAATGGAATATTATTCAGCCACGAAAGTAAAGAACTGACACATGAGGATATTAGGCTAAGTGAAATAAGCCAGTCACAAAAAGACAAGTACTGTATGACTCCATTTATCGGAGGCACCTAAAGTAGTCTATAGAAACAGAAAGTGGGATGATAGTTGGCAGGGGTTTGGGGGAGGGGGAAGTGGGAGTTCAATGTGTACAGTGTTTCAGTTTTGCGAAATGAAAATGTTCTAGAGATCCGTTGCACAACAATGTGAGAGTGAGCCAGAAGATGCCCAGCATTTTAGGGATGGTGGCCGTGAATAAGTCCAGGTCAATAAGAGTCCAACATGGCTAGAATACAGTAAATGAGCTCGTGGAGAATACGCTCAGTCTGGATTACAGACAGCAGCATTCCTCAGGAAAGCAACAGTATACACAAAAGGGGAATCCCATCCAGACGTGCACATCTTCCAGCTCTGGGATGCCCAAGAGAAGGAATGAAGAAGGATGGAATTGGGTGTCATTAGGAATGGACATCTTCTCTACCACTACTGGTGATTGTGTGTATCAGATATATCAGAGTCAGATGTCAGCTTCCCATTAATGATTCTTGCTCTATATCCTTCTTTTTCCAGACTCCTGGTAAAATGCAGTACAATCTTGTAATATTCCCTTTCTCCCATTCAATGTTATCCAAACTTTTCTGCCGTCTTTACCCCATCAGATGGCTCCAGGAATAGAGCCATCCTCGCTCTTTCCTAGATCATTCCCATCCATGAAAGGGTGAACAAGAAGAGAGGGGAGAAGAATATCATCTGTCAGCTGGATATTCAGGGTAAAGAGTAAGAATTTTTCAAGTGGGGTGACATCAGCAACATGGCTGAATAAGACAGCCCTCACATATCCCTGCACTCAACAACAATTTGGCATCCATCCACAGACAGAAGTGCCTTGTAGCACCTGTGGGATCCAGCACCATGTACCAAGAGACCCAGGAGAAGTCTTACCCACCTGTGCATCAGGTAATAGGCATGCGGACCTCGGTCCTGGCTGTAGACCCTGCAGTGGCCTGTGAACCGGCTCCAGCCCCTCTCAGCCACAGTGTGGGAGACCCTGGAGAACGATGTCTTAGACAATCACCCACAGATGAACAAGCCTTTGTGGAAGTCCAGGTTTCCAGTGGAGAAGTTCCAGCACACCACTGGAGAAAGAAAACAGAGGTTGGGACACATTGGAGAGGAAAAGAGGAAGGGTTTGATTTTACCCCTCCCCCAAGGCAGCACAGCTCAGTACTGGGTGAGACGTTCTCGGCCGTTGATTTCTCCCACAGGGGAAAGTGAAGCATGCCAGTGCGCACCTGACTTCCCCAGCTGTGTGGGACATTGCCAAAGAGGCACATTCCTCTCTCATGCCATCCAGAGTACAGAGTCGTGAGCTGGCTGATGCCGGGGTGGGAAAAGGCTGGGAGAGTGGCAGATAGGACACTTGGAGGGCATTAAAGGATGCAGATCCTACTAACTGTGCTGCAGACTCCAAGGAGCCTGCCCAGGAGCTGCTGGGGACACCTTGCTTGCAGATCCCCCACTTGGCCTGTAGGTACCTCCAGTGCTCCGTGTGCCTCACCCACTCACACCTCTACCCGTGGCCAGCTCTCTGTGCACACTCCTGATGGTGGTGAGAGTGAGCTTTGGCAGACGGCTTGTAGAAAGCCAGCCTGAGTCTGCAGGCGAGGGAGAGACCGCACACTTGAGCTTTAGCTCAGCCCTTGGGAAAACAAAAGGGAGGCTGTCAGCACCTGGCCTGGTGTGTTGCAGGATCAAGAGAAGGCAAACAAGCTTAAGAATTCTGCCACAAGAGGGAGCAAGAAGCATGGTGGAGGTGTATCCATAGATGGTCTGAGAAAGCCTCAGAGTCTCTAGCAGGACTGATGGTAGGGATTTCTCTCCCAAAGTCAGTTAGTGAAAATTGGAGAAGGTGCCCACTACTGCAAGTGTGAAGACAAAAATGTGAGACTCCAAGGAACGTGAAAAACCAAGGAAACATGACACTACCAAAGGATAACAATAATCTTCTAGTAACTGACCTCAAAGACATGGAGATCTGCAGTTTACCTGATAAAGAATTCAAAATAGCTGTTTTAAGGAAGCTCAACGAGCTACAAGAAAACACAGAAAGGCAATTCAACAAAATCAGGAAAATTATACATGAATAAAATGAGAAGTTTAACAAAGAGATAAATCATTTAAAAAAAAGAACCACACAGAAATTTTGGAGCTGAAGAATACAATGAATGAAATGAAAAGTGCAATAGAGAGCATCAATGACCAGCAGAATGGAGCAACCAGGGGAAAATAATCTGTGAATTCCAAAACAGGAACTTTTAAATTACCCAGTTAGAGGGTAACAAAGGAAAAAGAATAAATAAGAATTAAGACTACAGTAATCAAGACAATATGGTACTGGCACAAAAACAGAAATACAAATCAATGGAACAGGATAGAAAGCCCAGAGATAAATCCATGCACCTATGGTCAACTAATCTATGACAAAGGAGGCAAGGATATACAATGGAGAAAAGACAGTCTCTTCAATAAGTGGTGATGAGAAAACTGGACAGCTACATGTAAAAGAATGAAATTAGAACACTACCTAACATTATGCACAAAAATAAACTAAAAATGGATTAAAGACCTAAATGTAAGACTGGACACTGTAAAACTCTTAGAGGAAAACATTGGCAGAACACTCCATGACATAAATCACAGCAACATCTTTTTTGACTCACCTCCTAAAGTAATGAAAATTAAAACAAAAATAAATGGGACCTAATGAAACTTAAAAGCTTTTGCAAAGCAAAGGAAACTATAAACAAGATGAAAAGACAACCCTCAGAATGGGAGAAAATATTTGCAAATGAATCAACAGACAAAGGATTAATCTCCAAAATATATAAACAGCTCATGCAGCTCAATATTAAAAAAACAAACAACCCAATCCAAAAATGGGCAGAAAACCTAAATAGACATTTCTCCAAAGAAGATATACAGATGGCCAAGAGGTACATGAAAAGCTGTTCAACATCACTAATTATTAGAGAAATGCAAATCAGAACTACAATGAGGTATCACCTCACACCACTTAGAATGGGCATCATCAGAAAATCTACAAACAACAAATGCTGGAGAGAGTGTGGAGAAAAGGGAAACCTCTTGCACTGCTGGTGGGAATGTAAATTGATACAGCCACTGTGGAGAAGAGT